CAAACCTAGGGCCTCATGCATGCAAGGCAAGCGCTCTACCACTGAGCCACCTTCCCAGCCCTGGGACTTTTTTTTTTTTTTTTTTTTTTTGTCGGTCGTGGGGCTTGAACTCTGGGCCTGGGCGCTGTCCCTCAGCTCTTCAGCTCAAGGCGAGTGCTCTACCACTTGAGCTACAGCCACACTTCCGGTTTTCTGGTGGTTTATTGGAGATAGGAGTCTCACGGTCTCTCCTGCCCGGGCTGGCTTTGAACCGCGATCCTCAGATCTCAGCCTCCTGAGTAGCTGGGATTACAGGCGTGAGCCACCAGCGCCCGGCCTGGGACTTATTTTTTAATCTACTTTGTTATCCTGTTTGGGGGGGGGGGGTTGTTTGCTTGATTTTTCTTTTTTTTTATTTTATTTATTTTTTATTGTGAAAATACTGTACAGAGGGGTTACAATTACATGGGCAAGATAATGAGTACATTTCTTATCAAGCATTGTAGCCTCCTCCTTTGTTTCCCCTTCCCATCCCTTCCCATCCTCCCCCCGCCCCCCCAGTCCTCCCCGCCCCCCTACCAAAGTTGTAAAGTTCATTTTCGACATAACAATTTGTACTTCTCATTGCTGCAACGGTTTGCTTGATTTTTCTTTTGTTTTGTTTTGTTCAGACAGTTTTGTTATATAGTTTAGCCTGATCTCAGACTCATGACCCTCTTGCCTCTGGTCCCCAAGTGCCCAAATTACAAGTGTGTACCATTAGCCTTTATATTTAATTCATGTTTTTACAGCATTCACATTTAAAGTGATTATTTGTATAGCAGAGTTAATTTCTACTATCATGGTAGTTTTCTATTCATTGACATTTTTTTCCGGTCATGGAGCTTGAATGCTGGGCCTGGGCCTGGGCCTTGGCCTGGGCCTGGGTACAGGCCTGGGCACTGTCCCTGAGCTCTTCAGCTCACCACAGTGCCACTTCTGGTTTTCTGGTGGTTAATTGGAGATAAGTGTCTAACGATGTTTCTTGCCTGGGCTGGCATTGACCTGCAATCCTCAGATCTCAGCCTCCTGAGTAATGTGAGCTACTGGTGCCCGGCATCCTTTCTTTTCTTAACTTCCACTCTTTTCCTGCCTTCTTTGATTTTAATCAAGCATCTTATGATTCTATTTTCTCCTCTGTTAGCATATGATTTGTCCTTTTTTAAAAAACAATATACAGGTTTCCCCACTGTTTGAACTATTTCATGTCCACCTTCAAATAACACTCTACCACTTCAGTTCAAGGGCCCTAGAGAAGAGTCTTCCCAATGTGTACCTCTTCTCCTTTTTGACATTGCTGTAATTTGTTTCTTAGATTTATAAATTATAATCATGGAACACATTTCTGCTATAATTATTTTGAACAAAATTGTTGTACGTTTTATTAAGATTCAACAAAATATTTTTATTCATTTTCTCTTATTCATTCTCAAATTCACTTCCTTTTTATGGAGAGCCAAGTTTCTGACCTATATCATATTCCTTCTTAGAAACTTCTGTTAATATTTCTTCCAAGGCAGATCTACTAGCAATGAATTCTCTTAATTTTGTCTGAAAGTCTCTTTTGCCTTCATTTTTTGAAGAGTAATTTTACTGGCTACAGAATTCTAGCTCGTTGGTTTTACATCATCCTTCCTGGTCATAATCCTAGGCCTTGAATAGAGACAGTGTATAGAGTATTTCTTCATTTAGCAAATGAAAATCAGAATAAAAATCACTTGTCTTATAACAGTTTACAGTTTATAGTTGAATTTAGAACTAGCTCCTTCTGTTACAAGACACAATTTTCTTCATGTCATATAGGCACACTGACCACCTACATTGAACAAAACCTGTCTGATCTCAATTTTCATTCTATCAGAACAGTCCCAGGTACTGCATAACCTTCTGTCCCACTATGATGCATTTTTTATAGAAAACATAATGGTTACAAGTAGAGGAAATTGGAGTGATGTAGAAATGTAGCTTATTACCATTGACACAGACCTGTAATAGTGATAGTGCAGTGAATATGTAAGAACAAGTTTCTGAAGCATATGTAGAAACTAAATCAATACATCTAAAGTGTTACAGAACTCAGAAGAGTGTTGCCTGTTTTGCATTTCCTCTCATTCAGTTGGGAAAGTATAATGGCCTCAAATGGAAGCAATGAGCATAGCAGATACAGAACCCAGGCTTAGAGGTTTAAAACTCATAATGATTTAACTCTGTGTTTTTGAGATGATGTACTCATTAGCACTCATGGGAAATGTGATACAGCCTAATGACTTTACATTATCTTTTTTCTCAAGGGAAATACACAATATCTCTGAGAGCCTTTCCATGACCAAAGATGGAGTAGAAGAAAGGTTTTGAGCCCTTTTTTCTTTATGTATTCCCCATGTGATTACCATTTGGGGAGAAAAATAAAATTTCAGTTTTGGCTCCTTTCCTCACCACAAAACCTATACTAGATTACTTATAAATTTAAAAAGGAAACTAGAAAACTAGAAAAAATAATACTTTTATAATATTACCCTATGCAGGATCTAACAATATATGATTGAAGACAGTGACCATATATAAAAGGAAAGCCTTTCCCACTCTGATCCAAAAGAAACAATTCTAGTAATATGTTATGTAAAAGACTTTTTTTTCTGTTGGTCGTGGGGCCTGCACTCTGGATCTAGGTGCTGTCCCTCAGCTCTTCAGCTGAAGGCTAGCACTCTACCTCTTGAGCCACAGTGCCACTTCTGGCTTTTTCTGCTTATGCGGTGCTGAGGAATTGAACCTAAGGCCTCATGCATACAAGGCAAGCGCTCTACCACTGAGCCACCTTCCCAGCCCATATGCAAAAGACTTTTATTATATATATGAAAGTGTATATGTGTGTGTGTGTGTGTGTGTGTGTGTGTGTGTGTGTGTGTGTGTGTGTGTGTGTGTGTGTGTGTGTGTGTGTGCATAAGAAAGCTGGACACCAGTAATCCTAGCTTTTCAGGAGGCTGAGATCTGAGGATTTCAGTTCAGAGGCAGCCAGGACAGGAAAGTCCATGAGACTCTTATCTCCAATAAAGCACCAGAAAACCAGGAGTGGTGCTGTGGCTCAAAGAGGTAGAGCACTTTCCTTGAATGAAAAAGCTCCAGGACAACACTCTAGCAGAAGGGCAAGAAAAAAAGAAAAAGTAAAGACAGTATCAGACCCAGCACAGCTTGGCTATGAGGTCACGATGGCAGCAACAGCTGTTGTCCTACTGTTCTCCATTGCTGAGGTGAATGTGGTGGCTGAGATGGCTGGCTGGCTGCTGGCTGGTGGAGCTGGGCCATTTCTGTGTAAATCCTTTCCTAAGTAGTTTTGCAGTTTAAGGAGGACGAGGAGCCCCCTTCTCAGGTTGAGTTGCTTGCTTCCTTGCCGCCACCACCATGCACATTCTCAAGTGTGTGCAAAGCTGTTAAAAGAAGATAAAGACTGTAGGGGGCAAAAAGACAAAGGACTGGGAGTACAGCCAGGTGCTCAACTCAATTTAAGACATCTACTGTTGCACATTTCTTTGCTAGGGAAGTCTATACATGTACTGTTTTTTTTAAGTAGCAGGTGTAGCTCTGATGGTCACACTTGAAGCTATAAATGTTAGAAGTGTTTACTGACATCTAATAGACCCTGTTTTCATAGGTAGATATTATTCCAGACTTGTTGCAAGGATTAAATGAGACAATATACAAAGCATGTTTTACAAATTATAAGATAATATACAACTATTTGTTGTTCTTTTTGTAAGCTCCTGAGGGCATTGACAGAAATTTAATGTTGTATAATATTGTCTATGTTGGTGCTTGGAACAGATTTTAAATACCTGTATCTAAAGAAAGATCCATCTACAGAATAAAGAGAATTGGGTCCCCAGGAGGGAAAATGACTAAGAAAAACCTAAACTGTGTGTGTCTAGGGAGTGGTTGTTGCCTAACTATATTAGAAAAGAATTAGATTTCCCAAGTTCCCTCTATTGATTAAAATTGTTTTCCTTAAAAACAATTCTCAAGGCCAGGCATGATTGCACAAGCCTGTAATCCCTGCACTCAAGAAGCAGAGATAGGAGAATCTTGAGATGAAGGCCATTCTGGGCTATAGAGCAAGACCCTGGCTCAAAAAAAAAAAAAAGCAGGGCTGGGAAGGTGGCTCAGTGGTAGAGCGCTTGCCTTGCATGCCTGAGGCCCTGGGTTCGATTTCTCAGCACCACATAAGCAAAACAGAAAAAAGCCGGAAGTGGCGCTGTGGCTCAAGTGGTAGAGTGCTAGCCTTGAGCTGAAGAGCTGAGGGACAGTGCCCAGGCCCAGAGTTCAGGCCCCACGACCGGACCCAAAAAAAAAAAAAAAAAAAAAAGCAATTTGCAAGAAAGTGCATGTGATTTTACTGCTGATGAAACTGTTGACACCTCCTTTAGAGCATTTATTAAGTTCTGGTAAATTGCACTGGGAGTACATATGGCCCCCACATGAGTGTTTTATTGTTGGCACTGTTTTAATAACTAACAAATCACAATAAGGAAATGAGTAAAAAGTAAACTACTGCTGCTGTGTCCCTGCTATAAAAACAGCCCTTTTAAAAAAGTTTTCCACTTTCACCATAAGACTTCATATGAGATTTGTACCTGAATGCATAACTCTTCAACCTCAGGACTTGCAGAGTTAATGGAATGCCGTCCTAGGGTTGTTGAGTTGTGCATTTCTGGGCATTTCATCTCTACTGGGAAGTACCATTCTCTCACACATATCTCCCCACCTCCACTAGAAGAAATTTCTTTATAATTTTTGGCATCAACAGTCAGAAAACAGACTGATTGAGAAGGCCTGATAGTTGATAGATTCTTTACCAAAAACTTGGCCCTTGGCTGTAGGACATCTTTAAGTTTGTAGTATTTGGGGGATCCCTTTTAGCGACTGCTTTAGAGAAAAAACAATTTGTGTTTCTTTCCACTGACTTAAATTTTCATTTCTGTTTCTCATAGGTCCAGTTAAAAACAAAAAGAAGGGTAAGTTGAACTCCCAATTTTATAAAGGAAAAATATCATGTAAATATGGTGTTTTAAAAAAAAAAATTAAAAGAAAAAAAATCAAGAAAGTAAGATTTCATATTTGTTTCTTTCAATGTTTGATTGCTCATTATTTTATTCCATCAATGTGATGCATTTGACTGTTGCAGTTTCTAAAGAACAGGAAATAATTCTTCAGTGATGGTTGATCAAAAAAATAGAATTGAGCTGGGAAGGTGGCTCAGTGGTAGAGTGCTTGCCTTGCATGCATGAGGCTCTGGGTTCGATTCCTCAGCACCACATAAGCACAAAGAAAAAAGATGGAAGTGGCGCTGTGGCTCAAGTGGTAGAGCGCTAGCCTTGAGCTGAAGAGCTGAGGGACAGCGCCCAGGCCCAGAGTTCAGGCCCCACGACCGGACCCCCCCCAAAAAAATAGAATTGATTCTCTAGCAACACATAAGTTGCTTTTTTTTCCTCATTCTTGCTCTCTCTTCCAAACAATACCATTTACATCTCTTTCCTTCATTCTCCTTATTCTTCCTGAAGCCTCTCTTTTTTCTCTCCTTCCCCCTCCTCCTTTATTAAGTCCATTATTGGTTTGAAGGAGGACTTAAAACACCTTATAGAGCAAAAAGTGTATTACCTATGGAAAAATGGCAATATTTGATTTCTTCAGCTTCTCAGATGATTAGGAAGATGTTTCTTGCTTTAAGGAATCATTATCAAATTCCCTGTGATGGAAAAAAATAGGCTGTAGAATTACTTTGATCCTTTAGCCTTTGTAAAGAAGCTTCTACTTGGACAGTTCTACTATGTTCTTGTTGGTTCAGTAAGTCCTCGTTGTACCTGAGATGAGACTGACAAAAAGACCCATAGAAGTGTTTGCTTACTTAACAATGAGAATCCAAAGGCAAAAGGCTCCAAGGGCAGGACTAGAAAAATATGCTCCACATCTTAGCACTAAAAGAACCAACTGTGAAACAAGTTTATCTCTGGATTTGGAGCCTGGAGGAAGATAGTGTAAAACTAATGATTTTTTTTATTCAAATGTTTTAAGTGAAATGATTCTGTTAAGATTTATATGTTGGGCACAGTGACTCAAGGTTGTACTCTTCATTCCTTGGGAGGTGGAGATGGAAGATTGTGGTTCAAGGCAACCTGGTGTGGAGGAAGGAAAGTTGGTAAGACTCCATCTCTACCAATGGCTAGGCAGTGGTATGAGTCTGTCATGCCAGCAATGCAGGGCAACACAAGAGCAGTATCAAAGCCCAGGTTGACCCAGGCATAAAGTGAGATCTTAACTCAAAACATACAAAGGGTTGATGGAGTGTCTCCAGTTGTAGAGTGCCTGATAACAAATATGAGGCCCCAAGTTCAAACCTCAGTATCACAAAAAAAAATTATGGAGCTTTCTAGAATAAATTAACAACTTCAAACTTGGCCAAAAAAGACTATTTTTAGGTACAGCCTACTAGTGTTCTGAACACTGAAGTTCTTGGGTACCTTGAAGCACCCTGGTCCACAGGTAAAACTTGAATTCCTCTTGTAAAGATATTGAGAAAGGGCCTGGCCTTCTCAAGACCCAAGCTAAGCCAGGATAATAAACAGCCATAAAGGTAGACTCAATGAGAAAAACTTTTTACTCTGGAGGGGCTGGGCAAGATACTCTCTTTTAAGAAAGTAAATTTGATTTTCAAACATTTATTTCTTAACTCTTGTCATATACTTTTAATACTAAAATTATAGCTCATATCATTGCCCAGCACTGCTACCTTGTGTATGGGACATTACTGGGAAAAGGCTGCACATAAGCCTTAAGCATTTACTTGGGCTGCAAGTGATTTAGAATCCATTTCATATGGATTTCCTTGGACACAGTGAATAGGCACATGCCTGAAGAGGTAAATTGAATTGTTCACGCAATTTTCACGTTTAGTGGAATTTTCCTACCTCCACAACTATCAGGATTCCTCTTATCTCCCTTTCCCTCTCTCTCCCTCAGTCTTTCCCTTAAACCCTTCAACATTTGGGACTTACCTAAAAGGTGAAGGAAATACCCCTTGGATGAAGTATAGCTTTAAAAGGAATAGTGAGCCAGGCTCCAATGGTTCACAACTATAATCCTAGTTACTCAGGAGGCAGAGATCTGAGGACTTAGGCTAAAGGCCAGCCAGGGCAGAAAAGTCCATGAGACTCTTATCTCTAATTAACCATCAAAAAATCAGAAGTAAAGCTGTGGTTCAAGTGATAGAATGTCAGCTTTGAGCAAAAGAAGCTCAGGGACAGCACCCAGGCTGAGTTCAAGCCCTAGTACCCACATACACAAAAAAGGAATAATGTATTCTTTCATCTAAGACTACACAGGGTAACATTGTAAGTGCAAATGTCTCTGATCTTTTGTATCATGAAATATTCTATTAATGTTGGAAAGTCAGGAGAAGGAATTCAACCATCTTGGTCCACAGGTCATTATATTTATATGTGTGTGTGTATACACACATATATATACATATATATATATATATATATATATATATATATATTCTTCTTTGGACTGAACTTCCTGTAAGTGTACAAGTAGGAAAAGCACACTTTTCTGATTCTAGAAAGGCAGAAGCCAGCTGCAGAACTGGATTGTAGCAGAAGCTTTTGTTCAAATGCCTTCTAACATCTTTATAAGTGAACATCCTCTGCTTATGCACCAACCATTATTATCTTGGAATGGAGATGTGTCTGGCTATAATTCTTCTACAATTACATGAAGCAATTACAGAGGACTCACATCCTTGAAGGTGTATTACCCACAGAACACACTATAGCTAAAAAGTCTGTTAGGCCTGCAAATAATAGGTAGGACCAGGGATGATCTAACATACACCATCCTCTATGTCTATTCCATACCCCGCTCCAAACAAATGAAGAGGGAGAAGCAACCTTATAAGGTTAGAGAAGTTCCCTGACTGCCAAGGGTAGGTCAGTTCTCCTCATGGAGAATTTCAAGAGAAAATGGAGAAATCACCAAGGCCAAGCTCCTCTTTTCACAGATAGAGAAACTAAGGCTCAAGAAAAGGAAAGGATTTACGGAAAGTACATCTATGGCAGAGATGGGGCTTACCTCCTTATCTCCTGAGTACAGATTCTGTGTTCTTTCCACTACACTAGCTAGAATTGAAACTTGGGAACTGACTAAGCCTGATTTGGAAACTTCCCAAATCCTAAAGGGGATGGTTTCCCTGTTCAACATCTTCAAATTGGCTAGATCTAGAAACTGGGCAGATCTGATCTTTTGCTGCTAAGTGCAGGGAAAATTCTAAATCTCATGCCTCTAGGTCTTCATTACTAAAATGACTATGAGAAATGCTCTATAGAGCTTTCTTTCTTTGCTTCCCTGAGACAGCAATCCTATAATGATCTGCATTCTATTTCCAAATTCTGATGTGGTTAGACACGGACAGTTGGCTTCTTGAATGACCTTGCCATGAATGTTTGGTTTCTTGGAGATGACATATTACTTGTTTGATTTAATTTTATTGTAAAGGTGATATACATAGAGGGTTACAGTTACATTAGTAAGGTAATTAGTACATTTTTGAACAGTGTTACCCTCTCCCTCATTTTCCCCCACTGAAACATTATTTTTAAATGAAGAGGCGATAAATTAAGATAGGATTCTCCAGGCTAAGAGTCTAAGGAGCAGAGAGTTGGAGCCAGTACAGTTTAAAGCAAAAACTTTAACCTTAGAGAGTGTCATGAAGTCTCTAAAACTCCTGGCAACACATTACTGACAGTATACTCTTGGCAGTAAATAAATTGTATTTAAAATTCTAAGAAATTACCTTAGAGGCAGGCACCAATGGCTCACTGAATTCTATTTACTTAGGAGGCTGAGATGTGAGGATTGCAATTTGAAGCTAACCCAGGCAGGAAAGTCTATGAGACTCTAATCTCCAGCTAGCCAGCAAAAAGCCAGAAGTGGAGGTGTGGATCAAGTGGTAGTGTATCAGGCTTGAGCAAAAACAGCTAAGAGAGAGTGCTCAGGTCCTGAGTTCAAGCACTAGTACTGACACAAAAATGAAGAAATTACTGTAAGTAAGGACATAGTTATCACCATCATTATCATGTCTGACAAAAGGTTTCCATTTTTAGAACTTCCCCAAATTGTGAAAAGACAGTGAAGGAATAAAACACCTAGTACAATCCATGGAATAGAATAATCGCCTGCAGTTCCTAAGTGTGTCTGCTCAGATCAGAACAAGTCAATAGTAGGAACTGAAGACTTGGGTTCAAGACAACAGTTATGACTCATTTAACATGACTATATTGTGGTAGGAACATTGGAAGGACTGGAATATGAAGTAGGAGGGGTGATGGGTGCTCTAGCAGAACAATAAGAAGGAAAAGGTAAAGCATTTGTGGCCATGGCAAATAATATATTAATGAATACAGCCTCAGAGAAAAGATTTCTAGGAAGGTAGATTACTTATGCCTATAAAAATGAAGGTTGATGGGTAACCTAATGTCCTTGAGCATATGAAGGGTTTTATATATGTGCTGGTAACTTTTCTTCTCTGTCTATACAAAGAATAGGAAAAAAGTTCAAACTGCCACAAGAGGGATTTCAGTTAAATATACCAGAAAACTTTCTAGCTGAGCAGTGAGGGGTGAAGGAGTTTGCAGAATTTCCTTTCCTAGAGATCTTTAGAAATAGAGTTTAGAGAGTTCAGCTGAGAAACAAAGCCTATGCCTCCTCCTTTGTTCTCTCCACTCTACCTTCTCTTCTTTCCTATTATTTCTCAATATTCTCAATCTCTCCCTCTCTGCTACTCTCCCTTACCATCCACCCTACCTTTCAAACTCTTTCCCATGCTTCATTCTCAGCCCCCTGAACATACTGACGCCTGTAAGAGTGTTCCTGAATCTAAACTGTCTAGCTTCCTCTTGTGAGCCACATCAAGTCCACCAGACTGGGTAGTGAACATGAAAGTCCCATGCTCTTTGACAATAGCCCCATTCTAAAAAGGAACCATCAAGCGACCCATAGGTCTAACTGCTTGGTAGTTCCCCTCCTTTGGACTCAGCTGAAACATGACCTCCTTTTTGAAGCATCCCCTGACCTCTTCAGCATTTGGTCCTTACCACTAATGTAGCACTTTCCAATGACTATGACTATCTCCCTACTAGACTGAGCTCCTTGAAGGCCATTTATTTCTCTAGCCTCAAGTCAGGCTGAGAGGTTATATGAGATAAAGTTGTCTGGCTCTTACCTGGGCACTGGTGACTCACACCTATAATCATAGCTACTCAGGAGGCTGAGATCTGAGTGTTGCGATTTGAAGCCAGCCCAGGCAGGGAAGTCCATGAGACTCTTCATTCCAATTAACCATCAGAAAATTGGAAGGGAAGCTGTGGCTTAAAGTGGTAGAGCTCTTGCCTTGAGTAAACAAGCTCAAGGATAGCACTTAGGCTCTGAGTTCAAGCCAGGTCCATGAAATAAGGTTTCTGGCTCTTTAGCATAAACTCCCAGATGGCTGACTTTGTATTGTTCTAAGTCTCTACAATTCCTGACAGCACTCTACTAACAGCACATCCTTGACAGTCAACGTAGCTTCAAATGTAATGCTGGATATTGTTTTTCAGGAAAGAAGGCAGGGCCACCTGGGCCCAATGGTCCCCCAGGACCTCCAGGACCTCCAGGACCCCAGGGACCCCCAGGGATCCCAGGAATTCCTGGCATTCCAGGAACAACTGTTATGGGACCACCCGGTCCTCCTGGCCCTCCAGGTCCTCAAGGACCCCCTGGCCTCCAGGGACCTTCTGGTGAGTTCCTCTATCTCTCCAAAAAATTTAGAAGTACTTTTTTTTTAACATTCTTATTGTTATTAAGTAGTTGTATAAAGGGATTACCATTCCATTAGTGAGGTTATGAGTACAATGCTTCTTCATCAATGTAATTCCTTCCTTTGTTCTCTCTCATATCCCCCTACCTCCCCTGACCTTACATAGTTCATTTTACATAATGTACATTGAATATAATGACTGTATTTGCTCACTTTTTGAGAGCAAGAGGAGGAGAGCATTTTCAAACACTGATGACATTTATGGCATGCAGTAAGAAATATAGGTCTCCTAGCCAAGCATAGTGCTAGCAGTTGAACGTGCTGGTATGGTCTGGCCTGCTCTATCAGTTGGTGGAGCCCTATTCTTATCCAATTCAACCCTTCTATCATAATCTATCCTTCACTCCAAGCCTCTCTATAGTGAGTAGGCTAGTAAACTTAGATGAGCCAGAAACAGAGGCAAGGGATAGGCCCTGAGAGGTCACAGGAAATCCTAAGGGAGGACAACCTTGATCTCCTCTGATTTGATTTCCAGCATCTAGCTCCATACACTATTTTTGGTATAGCTAGAACAGGCTATGGGAAAGAATGTTGGGGATTGCACAAAAGAACAAGTCCTAGGATACTTTGATCCCATGAACACTGTTTCCTTTCCCAGAGATGACAACAAGTAGTTACTTACAATAAAGTCTGGCAGTAGATGCAACAAACCTAGGCCCCAAGGTCTTCCTTTCCTGGAACCAAGTGATTCTCACACTAGATCCTTAACCCGCCATACTACCCTTTTTTTTGTCAGTCGTGGGGCCTGAACTCTGGGCCTGGGCACTGTCCCTCAGCTCTTCAGCTCAAGGCTAGTGCTCTACCACTTGAGCTACAGTGCCACTTCCAGCTTTTTCTGCTTCTGTGGTGCTGAGGAATCGAACCCAGAGCCTCATGCGTGTGAGGCAAGCACACTTCCCAGCCCCCACACTACCCATTTAAATACCATTTCAGCCGGGCACCAGTGGCTTACACATGTAATCCAAGCTACTCAGGAGGCTGACATCTGAGAATTGCAATACATAGCCACCCCAGACATAAAAGTCTATGAGAATTTTATCTCCAGTTAACCACCAAAAAGGCAGAAGTAGAGGTATGGATCAAGTAGTAGAGTGCCAGCATTGAGCAAAATAGTTAAGGGGCAAGCCCCAAAACCATAACACATATATACACATATACAAACAAGATACCATTTCATCCATTTACATCTTTCTCCTGAGTCCCAGAGAGGATCCAAAAGGTATGGCTGTAGATCCAAACCTGGGTAACTGGAGTTGACAGCAGTCAGACTTCCTGGGTTAATGTCAGTTGTTAGTTCTTTCTTCTTCTCCCTTTCTGTATCTTGATGTTTTCAAGCAATAGACTCTACAGTTTATTTCTCTGGGACCAAGAATTTAGCAACAGAACTCAGATTCCTCAACTTATAATTTAAACAGGGCTCAGCAGTGTTACCATGGTCACAAGAGACAGAGTTAGTTTTTCTAATCCAATCATTCCACAAATATTAATTGAGCAATTTCTGTGTACAAGGAGATATATTGCTAAGTGGTCCCTGCTCTCATAGAGTTTATGTCCTAGAGGCAGAGAGACAATTAAAGAAACAAGATCTTTACAAATGGCAGTGGGTTCTATGAAGACAATTGATAGAAAGGGAGCAAATGGCTAGAAAAGCAAGTGGCATCATCTCAGAAGCACACAGTGATAGGAATGCCCTCTCATTACTCCTCATGGGTACAAAGTGGTGTTTTCCTTGGGCCAACATTGGCAAAAAAGCTAGATTTCCTATGGATGTTCATTCCACTAAAGATGAAGGTAAGAGCCAGGAAGGCCAAAGAAGAAATCTCATCTCCCATCCTAGGGCCTCTCTTGTCAGTCTGACCCCCCTCCCCTCCAGCTCTAATCTTTAGAGAAGAAAACTCAGGGCTGGCCCCAGAGAGCAAGGCTCAGTGCCACTGGGGCAGAAGTGAGGAGAGAAGAAAGTAGAAGGAGCATGCCCTTTCATTGTCCTGTCCTATTTTGCAGGTGCTGCGGATAAAGCTGGAACGAGAGAGAACCAGGTTGGCTGGGGATTGCTCTCTTCCTGGGGAGAAGAGAAGGCCACAGGTTGAGAGCCACCTTTAAGTCAACTCCCCATAAAATTTCTTAAGGCTTTATTTTATAAGGACACTCTGGAGGTTCTGAGGTTGTTTTGTTTTGTTTTGTTTTCAGGCTCAAACCCCTCCCCATCTATAAATAGAAAAGTTTTGCCCTAGGGTCTGACTTAAGCTAAGGGAACCCTGCCTTGCCAGGACCTTTTGTCCTCTTTCCACAGGAGACAGAGTGTCACCACCATCAGGCTCAGTAGTCACCTGAAATGAGCTTCCAGTAGGCCTGTTCACCTGGGCCTCCAACTCCCCAGACATCCCCAGACACCTGGCCAGCACTCAGAGTGCCTGGGATCTGGAGCTGAGAAGTATAAGAGTTTGTCCTTGAAAAACAGCCAAGTAGCTCCAGGCCAAGGCCAGCCTGGGCTTCTGCCTTAATGGCCTGATGGCTCCTCCCTTGTCTTTGAGCTTGCTAATCTGTCTCTACTGGCAGGTTCTGCTGCCTGGCCTAGCCCTTGTCTCCTCGAAGCCGCCCTCACTGTAGCTGTTTGGCCACAGTGATAAATCTACATCACAGCACAATGCTTGCTAGCCTTGCAGGACAATTTTACATCCATCACCTCATTTGATCTTCAAACACCCCTGTGTGAAGAAGCCAGACAGAGATTCTCATAATCCCCATTTTACAGTTGGGGAAATGAGGCTCAGAGGCATTACATTTCGCTGAGGTCATATAATGAGGAAGTGGCAGAGGCACAAAATCACATTACACTCAAGTAGAAATATCTCATAATTGGGATACAAATGGAGACTAGAAAACTTGGGGAGGGAATGTGTGGCTGATCAAGCAGCCATTACAGTGACTCTTTCCTTCTCATCCTCCCAGCCAGCTGTGGTGCACCTACAGGGCCAAGGGTCAGCAATTCAAGTCAAGAATGGTAAGAATCTATGTAGGCTCATTCCCCAAGAGGAGCTTCTTCATTCCTTCTTTCCCAACCTCCAAATAATCACTCAGCCTAGTTCTTCCCAGGCTGCTGAGGTACCCTTGGCATAGGAAGCCCTTCACTGCTCCATCATGCCCTCTGCTGGCTCTCCCACATAACTGCTTGTATCAAGAGCTATTGCTACCCCCAAATTATATTCAGAATCCACTGATGAGGGAGCTGAAGGAGACTTGTGACATTATCTACCTAAGTATTCTTGGGGAGGAAGGGAGGCTATATGAGAATCTCCATGTGTAGTTTGGTAAGCATTTTCACAATACAAACTACAGAAAGTAAAACTACATCAAATCTTCTTGTCTGGTTTCTGAATGGATGGAAGGGTCATTTCTCTCAGGGAAGGAAGGGCATGCTGTAATCTCTAGGGAATGTGAGATGCTAATGTCTATCAAAGTGAGATTGTGTTCCAAGAGGTTGAATAAAACTGCTTTCATGTATCCCCTGTATTTAAGAGTCCCCGAGAGATTGTATAATACCATAATAAATCATACTGTCTTACGTGTGTATAGTACTTTAGAGTTTCCAGCATATTTTTGTCTTTTATTTCATTTGGCCCTCACAACCATCTAGTGAGGTAGGAGTCAGGTTCTTTTTGCAGAGACAGAAACTGGAACTGAGAGGTTAATTAACTGGCCCAAGATTTCAAAGTTTAGTTGCTGAGATCCAAAGCTATGTCTTTCGGACTCTTTTTACTAGGCTCTGTGCTACTTCAGTGATGTGTATATAGACTCCAGTGAATGCTTAGGTTCATTTTCTTCCCCAAAGAGACATGAACATTCATTAAAGAACAGTGCTTTGAAATAATGTCCCATCCTCAGGGTGCCAAAGCCTAAAATGCATGAACCCCCAGGAGCCTTGGGAAGCAGCAAGCTAGCCAACATGCCAGATGCTTACCAAGCTTAGAGTAGAAAAGGGAGGGATGTGAGTAGAAGCAATAAATAAAGAAAAGTTAAGATACCTGATACAGCCAGGTGCCTGTGGCTCATGCCTGGACTCCTAGCTACTTGCGAAGCTGAGATCTGAGGATCATGGTTCAAAACCAGCCCAGGCAGCAGAGTCCATGAGACTCATCTCCAATTAAGCACCAAAAAAGCCAGAAGGGGAGTTGTGGCTCAAGCGGTAGAGCACCAGCCTTGAGCACAAAAGCTCAGGGACTGGCCCTGAGCTCAAATGTCAGAATTCACACACACACACAGACACACACACACACACAATAAAATTTCTTAGGTAATGGGTGGATGACTAAGAGGAGGAAGTAACCCCATGAGTTTGGCTTCCCTCCTGTGGTATGAAGGAACATAACAGCTCTCTTCCACAGGATGGAAAGGGAAGTTTACACACACACACACACACACACACACACACACACACACACACACACACACACACACACACACACACGTGCTCATACATACAGGTTCCTCCTAAATGGAGTAGGATTAAGAGATGGATGCTTTGCCAAGGGTACCTCAGGTCCAAGTCATCTTCCACCATCTGTACTCTTAGCTACTCTACTGCAGCTTGGTAGTCTTTCCCTAACTTGAACAAAGCTTCCTCTTACCTGCAAGACCTGGGGGATAGTGATTACTAGCTTCAGGTGCTGTGGAATCTGAGCGATTACCCTTGATCCTTAAAGGTTCCCAGATAGACAATTGAATGGGCTAAGTGGTTCCCTGGGGCCCAACGAGGCTTTTCTGGAGTGGTATGGAGGACTCAGAAAAAGGAAACCCTTACAGAGGAGAAAACCCATAAACCTATGAAATAGGATGGAGACTCGGGAACTATGACTGGGAAAGTGAAACTGCATAATAATAGACCTAGCCTGCCACTCAGTGTCTGAATTTTGCCTGTGCAGCCTTGTAACAACAAAGAAAATAAAGCAGTGTGCTGTGCTCACTCTCCTCTTACTGGCCCCTCCCAATTCAAATTAAAAAATGTTGCTTAAAGACCCTTGCAGACGAACAACAGCTCAGGAGAGGAGGGTATGAAGATAGATATACAGAGCCCTGGGGCCCTAAGGCAGGCCTGATAGCTGCCTTACAAAGAGCACAGTTTCCCTGCTTTCAACTTGTCCTCTTAAAGCTTGGCCTCTGGGCCTTCCTGGTCACCTGGGATGAGGCTGGGGTTGTAAAATGCTTGGTGTTTCTTATTGCTATTGCCCAGATTGTTCTGACATGTACTGAGTGACTACCCTTCTCTCATACTGAGATCTTTCAGGTGGAGTGCTCAATGACTGGTCTCGCATCACTATGAACCCCAAGGTGTTTAAGCTACATCCCCGCAGCGGGGAGCTGGAGGTACTGGTGGACGGCACCTACTTCATCTATAGTCAGGTAGAAGTGAGTACGGTCTTAGGCGTAACTCTTCTTATATCCACAATGCAGATCCGGCGCAGGCCACAATGGGGCACTGTGTAGCCAGCCAAGACCAAACTTCCTGCTTGGGCCCTGGGGGTGGGGGAGTGAGGGAGGGTGAGGGAGAGCGATGGGAGGGAGTTGAAAGGTCCAGAGAGGGGGCCAGTTTCTTGGTGTGTTTTCCCCCTTGACCAAATACTGAAAAAATGAAAAAGAGGCCCTTCCCACTCCCTGCTGTCTGATTCCCTCCTGCAGAGCCTCAGGCCCTGTTTTCCCTCTAAGTTGTTTGGTTCTACAGCCAAACTTGAACTTGGTCTCAGCAAAAGTTTTTCAAAGTCAGTTCCCAAGCTGAGAGCCCTTCCCCCAAAGCACTGCTAGCTTGGGCATTATAATGAATAGTGCTCCTGCAGACTTTCTCTCCACCTCAGAAAGATTTCTGACTGTCTTTCCTTCCTCTTTCTCCCATTTGTCTCTCTGTTTCTGTTATTCTTACCTCCTTTCTGCTGTCATTCTCCCAGGCCTTTGTCCCTCTGTTTTTTGTCCTTATCCTGCCCTGGGCCCACTTCCCCCAGGTCTGCCAGTACCCACCTGTTTACACCCTACAATTGTTGCCTCCACTGGTGGAGGTGTCTCCCTAGAGCTAGCAGTAGATGAGCCTTAACACTGAGGCTTCAGGGGTGGGGCAGCAACCAGACAGATGGACAAAATGACTGTGGAGCCAACAGATGGGTCTCACAGAAAAGTGGCCAGAGAAGGTGGGTTAACAACCATTTATTAAGTACACCAAGCATCTTGGTGTACCTTGGTCCTGACCCTAAAGATTATACAGCCCCTGGATACACAGTTTCCATCAAAAGAGCATGTATAGCCGGGCACTGTTAGCTCATGCCTGTAATTCTAGTTACTCAGGAAGCTGAGATCTGAAGATCAAGGTTCAAAGGCACCCAGGGTAGGAAAGTCCTATGAGATTCGTATCTCCAATTAACCACTAGAAAACCAGAAGTAGTGCTATGGCTCAAGGTGGTAGACTGTTAGCCTTGAGCAGAAAAGCTCAGGAACAGCACCTAGCCCAAGTTCAAGTCCTAGTACTCATGTGTATGTGTGTATGTGCACACACACACACAAATAGCCTGTGGAGGTAGTCTTTATAATGTCACTTAATGTGTCATATTAAGTTTCAACTCCTGTAAGGCATGTGAGTTTAATCTCAATGCCTGTTAACTAAACATCATTTGGTGGTGATGGAGAATCAAAGTGTAGGGTAGGGTAAGATGGCCAAGTAGGTAATGAAAGATGAAAAATTTATCTACTGGACCCAGGAGAAAATTGGGAGTGACCCATGCATGCTGGGAAAATCTTCATGACATCAGGTTCATGCTTCCTTCTAGCCACAGACTAAAGTTAGGGGCCTGGGATTTACACTTCCAACTCCATTGTCTCCTTTGTGGTGGCTAGCTCTCCATCTCTCTAGATCTGTTTCCTCAATCAGCATAATGAAAGGGCCAAACAGCAGTAGGAATCAGGGAGAAGAGTCAGCCACACCAAGGGTGAGCTATAAGCTGAGGAGCTTTTATTAACCTGCTTCAGAGATGGAAAGTTGTTACTATGCCCTTCCTAGGGGGATCACAGACTTCTCAGTTTAGTCTCAAATAATCATCCCGAGCTGGAAATGGAAAATTAGTTAATGTCTGGAGCACTGATTGAGCACCTAAGGTGTTCAGAACATTGTGCTTCATGCCAAGTTGGGGTAAGGGGCTGGTGAGGTGGCAAATAGGGGGCAGACCCTCAGAACTTGTGACAGGTATACTATTGTGACATAGGTGGTCTGCTCAGCTATATGTGACCCATAGAACAGGGAAAGGACAGGACATAAGCCTGACACCTGCCCCTTGCATAAGGTACACTGGCAGCTCATCTAAGAAGGTTCTGTCTGCTCACCAGGGGAGGGCCCTACCCTCTCTTTCCTCTCTTCCCCAATCCCTTCTCGTTGCCTCTCACCCAGGTGTACTACATCAACTTCACTGACTTTGCCAGCTATGAGGTGGTGGTGGATGAGAAGCCCTTCCTCCAGTGCACGCGCAGCATCGAGACAGGCAAGACCAACTACAACACTTGCTATACAGCAGGCGTCTGCCTCCTCAAGGCGCGCCAGAAGATCGCCGTGAAGATGGTGCACGCCGACATTTCTATCAATATGAGCAAGCACACCACTTTCTTTGGGGCCATCAGGCTGGGAGAAGCCCCTGCATCCTAGATTTTCCCCATTTTGCCCCTACCCATATGCCCCTGCCCCAGGTTTGGGAGCCTGGACTCCCAGAACCTCTAAGTGCTGCTGGTGGATTGAGGTATATTGGCATTGCAGCCACAGAGAGGAAATGCACCCCCACCCCCACCCCCACCCCAGTGCTATTTATTCCCGCGGTGACTCCAGGATGACCAGGCCTGCTTGACTTTCCAGAATGACCTTGAGTTAACAGGACAGTTGATGGAGCCCCAGGATTTCCAAGAAGCAAAATCTTCTTAGGCTCCATGTTGACTGGCTTATGGCATGATTCTTCAACCCCAAGGTTCCTCTTGTGAGACTTACTGCTTGTTGCACTAAAATGAGGACCCAGGGCAGCAAGCTAGAGAAAGCAAAGGTGCACTCCACATGCTGGAAGTGGCCATCTGATCCCAAGGAGGCTGCTGCTCCTCTCTTGGCTTGGGCTAGGGGTGAAGGGAGTAACATTAGATTACAGCCTGAAGAGAGTGCCAGGGAGGAACAAGGTAGATGTTTGTAGCCAAGATTGGGGCAAGAAACCTGCCAAAGCACTCACCCTTGGCAATGGAAGCAATCTTGCTGTTCTGCACAGTGACTTGCAGGAGATTCAAAGAGCTCTTCCCAGGCTGAGAGCCACATGGTTGTTATCAGTATGCTGGGCTCCAGAGACAGGAGCTTTACTCTGCCTTGGAATAACCCTGCCTGTGGAAGAACCTGAATCCATACTGCAGGCACATGTCTCTCACTTTGTTTACAGCTGTGCTCCATGCTCAAAAAAACTGCTTGGGGTACCTTCCCAGTTACCACCCTCTCCAGCCTGACTAGAGCTCCTGTCTTCTTTCGCCACAGAGCCTACCTCTGTCTGAGACAGGGCCTGACCTGGGACCTGTGCTCATGTGAGTCTGGGATATTCTTTAGCTTACCTTAGCACTAAGAGGAAATTTCCATTTATAAAGCAATACAAGTATTATTCATCTAATTCTAATTGAACTGTGTCTAGAACAAGGAGTTGAACTGGATGACTCTCCCAACACAAAAAGTCCCTTGGCATTTTCATATTCGTGACTCTCAACAGACATCTGCCACAATAACATAAATTCCCAAATCCTGGACTCTTGGGCATCAGCAGAGCAGAGCTTTTCTGCCTAGCCTGGAAAAAGCAAGAGGCAGAGATAGCAGGGGAATTTTATCTGAATTTACTGCAATCCAAGTAATTTTTAGGCCAGGTTCTAGCAAAAAGGACAAGTACTGGTGGCCTGATCATCCAGTCTTATTTCAGAAAGCTACACAGAGTATAGTCACCAATCACGCCAAAGGTCCATGATATTGCCCTAAAGCCAGACATTGGGCAGGGATCTATCCCCTAGTTCAGGTCCAAAGGCACTTCCCTCCTACACAAAGGTTCCTGCAGATTATATACTAAAACTATTCAATGATCCTGTTGCGAATTACCTGGGCCCAGCCTGAGCTTCGGGGGGCTGCTAGATACAGCTCATAGCTAGCAGGGTCAGCCTCATACAATATACACCTGTTGCTCCTGACATGTGTTTCTTTTTGAGGAGATGAGGACTAGATTCCCTATTTCTCAGCTATTCCCTATTTCTCAGCTCTGCCTGCTCTCACTTGAACAGCCACATTTCTGGGCTCTTCAAGAGTTGGAGCAAGAGGCAGTGAGCCAGGCCTCCATTGTCTGATACTAATGACAGCCTTGCAACCCAAAGTAAGGCAAACTTTAGGCAAGGGTCTGGCCTTGGACAGACTACAATTGTAGCTGGAACAGTCTGAACCGCTCACTGTTTGTAAGGTTATTTCCTCTTGTATTATTTCCTTTGAAGAGAGCAGGGCAGAGAATATTTCAAATGTCATTGTTTAGATGAGGCTCAGAGAGTTGAGCTGCTTTGACTAAATCATAGATCTGGGGCTTTAGACAGATCAGGGTCCCAGGCTATTCCTTTATACCATAGCACTGTGGAGAATTTAGGATTTAGGTTGAATGAATGAAAGTGATAATATGAAACTGACATCCTTGGGGGTGCTAGGGGAAAACAGCAATGCCCATTTTTGTCTATTGACAGTAATGCCTTTTCTCTTGGCTGCCAAGAGTCCTGTGGCAAAACAATCAGATATTTCCTTGGGTAACAGCTATCAGCACTGGTGCTCTTGTGTTCACAGGAAACATCTTGGCACCCTGTCCAAGCAGCAGGCCTCTGGGACCCACAGAATTTGTCATCATTGTGTTCTTTCAACCATTGGATGAAACAAGCAGCCACCAGGTGTGAACAAGGTCCTCCTTTCATTACCCTAGACACAGTTCCCAGTAGCTGGCCCACTTCCCACAGCTACAAACTGTAACTCCTTATCTCTCCACAGAGACACTGATAATTGCCAAGGTCTCTTGGGGTAGAGGCAAGGCCAGAGAGGACCAATTCTAATGCCAGGTGGGTGGTGAAGAGAGAGGAGGAAAAGCTTTTAATTTTGGCCCTCAAAGACTTGCTTGCCTCTCATACCATCCTGCAGACATCCTAATTTAAGGGCTTGGAGAGGAAGTAGATGTTGCACTAGATCCCTCATTTATTCAGAATCCTCACAAATTGTCCTAAAGGCACAGAGATGGAAAGGAAGCAATAGACAGTGGGGATCCTGTTATGGTATAGTCATTGGAGAAGCGGTAAGGTAGTTTTAAGAGTGGATAGGAGAATGTGAACCGAGAATTCGTTTGGAATTATGCTGCTGTGAATTTATCAGGAGGCCAAAACTAGCATGGAGAATGGGGCAAGTGAATTTGTGCAGATGACAGAGGTTTGAAGGAGAATTGCTTGGCAGGGGCCTCTGTCAACTGCTTGGGGCTTCGACAGTCAAGCTGACATCAAAGGCAGCTGCTAGAAGCTGCTCTGCTACTGGTCCCCTGGAAAATGTAGTACTGTATTTGCCTTGTTCTTCCTTCATCCATCCTGAGCCAAATCTCTCTTGCTTAACAGGAAAGACATAGGAAACTTGGAGGTAAATGAAGACTTTGATCCATGTGTGAGTGCTTGTGTTTTATATTAGGTCTAGTGGATTCAAAGAGATTCAGAGAAATTTTGAGCTAAAAAGGTCCATAGAGAGAATGTAGCCCAACCTACATTCCACCCTGTGTTACTCATGTGACACCCAGAGAGGAAAGGTGACCTACTCAACCTCCCAGCTCCAGATTATGCAAAGGGAAGAGGTAAAACACACCCTGTGCCACAGAGCCCACCCCCTTTCTTCCATCAGCCCACAAACTCAAGGCTGGAAGTCCTCTGCCCCCTTCAGGAGCCTGGCCAGGCAGGGATAATAGCTGCAGCCTTCATAAGAACTCTGCTCCCCATTCCCCTGCAAAGCATTTGCCCAGTCCGTACCCCTTGACTGATTGGAAGGATCTAGACTATCCCCCCAAACCCAGGCAGTCCTTAGAGTCTTAAGGCCACTCTAGTGGCTGCAAATCCCATCTTTACCAGCATATTCTTCTAACACCAAGGAGGAACCTGATTTTGTTCTTTTGATCCATGTCAGGGCTCTCCAAGAGGGGATGTGGTATACCATTTCTTTATTCCAATAGTTTCCAGCTGGGTCAGGGAAGAGCTTTGTTAGGAGAATGGCCTGGAGCAGGCTCATTGCTGCTTTTGGGGGTCAGCATCCAGTGTGAGATACTGTATATATAAACTATATATAATGTATATAAACTGGGATGTAAGTTTGTGTAAATTAATGGTTTATTCTTTGCAAATAAAGCGCTTCCCCCTTCCCTCCCCTGTTCTTGAAATAGGTTTCAGCACTTCCTACATACGAGATACTTCTTTGTAGATGATGTCACACATAAACTAGGGAAAGGACCAGGGCACCTGTTTCAAGAGGCAGTAATGGAAGATGGTCTGAACTTCCTTTCCCACATGATCTTCAACTCAGACCACATGCCTCCACTCACATAGCCTTACATCTTCTGGGAGCATAAACCCAAGAGTTTAGGAGTCTCACCAAAAGTATGTTGTCCTGGGTCAGGGACACAAGTCATGGAGTCTTCCTCAGTTTGAGACTGTGGCATCTGTAACAGCTACTTCAAGCCTGACTTAAAACAACTTAAGATGGGGGAGGATCCAGGGTTCAGCAACTCACTAAGGAATCAGCTCATTTTTGCAGATGAGACCAATGCTCAAAGATAATTAAGTAGTTCACCCAAGGCCATCCAACTAATAAATGTATCATTCTAGACTGCTTCCTCCATACAAACTTTCCATTCTGCCATGCTGCCTCCTCCAATTGGCACCACGCTTTTTGGCAGAGAAGTCCTGTGGAGGCTGTTGAGGAAGAGGACCATAGGAAGAACAGATAATAGCTCAGGAAAATGTAGCTCAGAAGAGTTCTGGGCACTTAGCACAGGCCCCACAACCTTTGTCTCCATTACAACCATTGTATAAGGGGAGAATGGGTTATATAACCAATGTATGCAGAGTAGCCGTAGACAAATATGCAATACCAGGTATACCTGGGCTGGAGATGTGGAATCTAGGCTTTTCTTCTGGCTGCCTGAGAAAGTTTTTTTGTTTGTTTAAGGAAATGAGGTACAGGAAGCCTGGAAAGTTTTGAAAACCCTTGCGATGTACCTCAGTGGCACAGTGGAATACACAAACTTCTAGGTTTGATCCCCAGCATTTCCCCTCCCCCCAATTACCCACCTTATTGGAGACTAGGAAAAATGTAATTTCTACCACAAGAGCCATAGAAACAACAGCAAAATAGGAGCCTGTCTCTGCCATACTGCGTACAAATCAGCACCAAGGCAGAGGTGACACATCATGCTGTATAGTAAGTACATAAGATGTTCTGGATGAAATTGACAAACAGCACAGTAAAGGCTTGGGCCAAATGACATCTACCTAAGAGGGGTAGAACAAGAGGCCTAAAGGCAAATTGAGTCATCACTCCTTGCAACAACCATTGGGCCAAGATGCTGAGAAACTTTCCACTCAGAGAATTGTTTGTGACTAATAGAAGGCAGTCACCTCATATGAGTCTCAAAGGAAAAAACTGTAGGGCCAGGCAAGACCTGGGATAAGACAGGGCCTGAGTTTGACCCACTGACCCATTCTATTAAGATCTATGAGATGGAAAGTAAGTACAGATTAAGCAGCACCAGGGGTATGGACAATAATTAATTAACTTCCAACCCAAGATCTTATACTTCTTTAAAAAATTGAAATGCCAGGCAAGGTGCTGGAGGCTCATCACTGTGATTCTAGGTACTCAGGAGGCTGAGATCTGAGGATTACAGTTCAAATACAGCCAGGCAGGAAAATCCATGAGACTCAACTCCAACAAACTACTCAAAAAAAGCTGTAAGTAGAGCTGTGGCTCAAGTGGTAGATTGCTAACTTTAAGCACATTAGCACAGGGACAGTGTTCAGGCCCTGAGCTCAAGCCCCAGGACCAGCATACAAAAAATTGAGATGCCATGAACTGTAGGGCATTGCTTTCCCAAGACCAGGAAATACATTCAATGGTTAGAGGAAAACAGTTTAGTGTAGTTCTTCAGCTTAAAGTCCAGTCACATATAATAGCATTTGATATTCCCAACAGCCTTGGAGGTAAGCAGTGGAGGAATTGTTAGTATTAAGTTGCAGGTAAGGAAACAAGCTCAGACATGACCAATTGCCCCTCAAGTCACATGGCTTAGAGTGGTGGAGCCTGAACTCAAAACTCATTGCTTCTCAAGGCACCCAGTTCTCCCAAGTTCTGATGCTAAGAAAGGGCTAGAGAATGACAGACATGCATAGGGATTCCAGACCCTCCAAATAGACTAATTGAGGCCCACACCCTATCCGAAGATGGCCTCTGTTCTATTGTTTTCCTCAGTGCTAGTACCCTCGTGGGAGAGTGCCCAGTGCATCTCTGCCCTAGGGTCCTTCCCTGCCTCTTGATACTATGGTCCCCTAACCCCAAGGAAAAGAACTAGAAGAAAGCAAGAGAAGTAGAAAGACAGGCACAGTAAACAAAATGGATCTCTCTGTCCCCTGGTAAGTACTAGTCAAATCAGGAGGAGTCCCAGAAATGACTTGTTCTCCTGTTTTTACTGACTTCACACCTTCTCAGGCTGTGAGGCTACTGAGGATGTCTGTCAAACAAACTCAAGCTCCTGGGTCTCTGAGATGCCATACTTGGTCTTATGCTCATCGAACAGTTTGCGTAGGGCCTCTATGTAGAGCTGGTGGTATTTATCCACTATCTCCTGGCTCGGGTTCACAATCTTGGGCAGTAGTAGAGGCTTCCCAACTGTCAGGGGAGAGAAAAGGTAAAGGGAGAAGCATCAGAACAGCTTATTCACCAGAATGGGTGCCAGGCTTCAACCTCA